ATTAGGACCAACGCACCCAATACACAAATACACAAACAACTAATAAACAAAAAGTTTTATAAAGCAATAATTACCTTTACTGAAACTGAACTATGTCAGTATATTTATTCTGTTCATTTTCATTTAGATGATAATGACCTATAGTTGGAAAAATGCTTCATCTCTTTTGTAAAATATTTTTAATTTATGGTCATAAATTGGGGAACTCATCCCAAGGGATTGTCAGTATATGAGAACAAAGAGTTAAAGGTTTATATAACTCTGTTTTAATTTTAAAAACACCTCTTCATGAATGTGAAATATGAGCTTATTTTTATGTAATTCCCAAAAGCTAACAGAAACAAATGAAACATGTAGAAACAAGGTACATGATCAAATATGTTTTCCTCTACATATCAGTAAAAGTAAAAACTGGTCAAATTATTGGAAATTGTTGTAATAAAACTCACAACTTCTTTTTGTTGATGCAATTCACATCATTATTTTTTCTTCATTTTTGGCAGACATTTCTAGCTTTGAATGGCCAAACTTTTAACATTGAAATAAAACTTGCTGATATTGGGACTAAATTATTTAATTCTATTAACTGATAACATTTTGGCTACATCTAACTTAATAGTAAGTTTTTCTCAATAGAGCAGGTTGTGCAACACAGAATCTTAGTATCACAAATATTTAGTGTCACAATCTTAGTCTCTTTTTTAAGCCTTCTAGAACGAAATTTCTTCATTTTAAAAATAAACTAATAATGAGCAATCAGGATGATGGAAACAAACAGTATAGAGGCTGGAAAGTAAATTCTGATATAATATTGTTGTTACTGTTATTTTTTAAAAATTTCAACTCAAATTTGGTGATCTGTACATCTCATTAAACCACCTTTAAAGCTAGGTGTGGTGGTGTGTGCCTGTAATCTCAGCACTCGCTAGGCTGAGGCAGGAGGATTGGCATGAGTTCCAGGCCTCCCTGGGCTACAACCCTGGGCTACATAGCAAGTTCAAGGACACCCTGAACTGCCTAGTGAGATCTTGTTGCAAAACAAACAAACAAGCAAACAAACCCTTCAAAGAATAAACACATAAAACACATATATTTAATGTGCAAAATGTAGCATTAATTATCTATAATAGTACTTATGACTGCTTTGTTTACTAACTTCTGTACTCCTTCCAGAGATGACTAGAAATGTACACGGTCTTAGAGCATTTTGCAACTGTACTTTAACAAATATAGAGAACCTCAGAACAGTTTGAAAATAAGTCAAAGAACTAAAAGAGATACACAAAACAATAATATATACATATTATCTAATTATAAAACAATCTGGGAGCTATGTATTCCATTAATGCCAATGTGGAGAGCCATGTTTGGAAACAGAGAAAGAAAAAACAGCCAAATATGGTGGCATGCAACTGTAATCCCAGCACTCTGGGAAGCTGAGGCAGGAGGATTGAAAGTTGGAGGGCAGCTAGGGCAACTTAGCAAGACACCGTCAAATAAATAAATAAATAAATAGGAGGTGGGGTTATAGATCAGGGTGAAGGTCCTGGGTTCAGTCCCCTTTACAGTGGGGAAGAAAGTGAGAATGAGAAAAATGGCACCCAAAAATCTTCCTTATTTCACAGCATCTGTGGTGAAGGGAGATCCTGCAACTCAGTTTGGAAAGGTAGTCATGACAAGTAACAAGTGAGTCTCTCTTTTCAAAAGTTTAGCAATAGATTTATGAAAATCAGATTTAGATTGTTGGGGCCAAAGTACGCTGCTTAGGATTTTAACATGTTAGAGTCCATATATTTTTAAACTATTGGAGTGACTTTTTTTGGGGGGTACTGGGGTTCGAACTCGGCTCCTTGCATTTGTACAGCAGGCAGCAAAACCACTGATCTAAATCCCTGGGCCTGGAGTGACTTTTTAATGTCTTCACCATTAACCTGAAATAAATTTTCTTAATTTTATCTGACTAAGTTAGCAGTGTACATCCTTTGAAAACTGATCTCAGTTGTCTTGCTTGACTTATACTGACAATTTGAAATGCTCTTATTGGTTGGTACCCTCAGCCCCCCTCCCTGCCTTATTTTTTTCCTTTTTTCTTTTTTAAGAGACACAATATTAGCTAACAAATGTTGTCAAGTCAAACTGCATGTCTTTGACATTACAAGCAGTGTGAGCAACCACCCCTTATCTCAGGCGTGGGATCTGCTAAACACTGTTGATGTCCCACCCTTCTTATTCCAGGCTTCCTTCCCTCCACTGGCCAATTTTTGTTAAAGGAGGAAAACTTAGGAGATTGAGAGGGAAGGCTCATGTCTTTGATTAAAACTCACAGGGGCAGAGAATACCAGGGTCTACTGTTGTGGTGATACACATCTATCATTCTTCTCACATTAATGTGAAACAAATGTCACATTTAAATTTTATTTATTCTTTAGGTTGGCAGATTTTAGTACCATATGTTTTTAAAAGAATTTTTTTCCACTATGGCATATTAAGAGGAGCTCTTTTAATATGCAAAATTGACATCTCATCTTTTTTTGTTTTCAAAAATGAAGATCATATTTTTGATGTCAGCATAGGTAAAGATAACAAAGTGTTACCTTAGCATACATTTACTTTTTCTTTCATTCTCCTTAATAATTTTAGTCTCAAAATACTGAAACTTCCCACCTATTATATATGAATTGAAAAGATGTCTGCTCTTCTAGGACTATTTGTTATTGGGGCTGGAAGAGGAGCTGGTTCTGTGTTCCATTAGGCACACTTTTTCTTTTACATTTTTAAAATTTTTGACTTCTATTAATACATGATTGCGGTACATAATGATTATATTCATTCCAGGAAATGTACATAGCACATTTCAATTCTTTTTTCCCCTTCTCTCCAACCTCCTTTTATTTTCCCAGCATCAAATTCTTTTAAAATCATATGTATGAACTTAGAGAAGCCTACGAAATAATACACAACTGGATAAACAACTTTGACAAATTCCAAATTTCTATCGATGTTATATACACACACATGTGCTATTAATTTAATGTTTATTCAAACATTTATTTAAGAACATTTTCAACTGTACACTAAAGTGGAAGGTACAGTAGAGTTGGCTTAAATATTTTATACCATACTAAAGCCTTTTGATTGCTGTATTTCATTTTAGTAAAATGCAGTTTGATTTTTTAAAAAGAAAACACTTTTGGCAGGTCACTTTGGTGCATGCCTATGATCCCAGCACCCTGGAGGGTGAGACAGGAGGGTTACCATGAGGTCAGCCTGGGCTACTCAGTGAGTTCAAGGCTAGCCTAAAATACATAGGAAGACTCTACCTCAGGAAAAAAAGAAAAAGAAAGATTTTTGAAACATTTCAAATACATTTGGAAAGCAAAAAATTATCTTAAAAGAATTTTATTCAAAACAGAGGATTAATAAGTTCCTAACATACATAACTAATTTTTCCTTTAAAATGAACATAAAATCAACTAGGAATATTTTCAAATTAACACAATGAATTTCACAGTGGAATGATTAGGTACGTTTACATATTTTGAACTTGAAAAAATGAAATATTTCAAATTTAGGGTAGAAATTTTGAAAATTCAAATTGTAAATTTTGGGGAATGTTTTAAAAATATTTTTCCAAATCTAAGGTAAAAATAAACATTATTACAACTTAACATTGTCTGTTTAATTTTGATTATTAGGAAAATCTTATTTTACAGCCTAGAAACACACAATAGAAATAGCAGCATAAGAATGGGATGTTTAACACTATCTAATATTAATCTAATATTATTTCAATTGTCATTAATGGTCATTAATCACTCAGATAACCAAATTGAAAAAATAAAATATAAAAACCTGTAAAATACTTGCAGCGTGGTAGAACACATTGCTCATTACAAAACAGGTTAGTGTGATTCTCTGTGATGTAGTGTGTCATGATAAAGCTCTTCTGTACGTGTCAGATTGATAGCAGGAACTATTGGGGTGCTTTTCCAGGGACACTAATTTAGCAATTGCAAAATAAAAAATTCTTGAAGGACTCAAACACAGTTTTGAAGTTGATGAAAAAACTTTCTATAGAAAGAAATTCCCTAAATTCAATGTCATTTATATTTAAAAAACTAATAAAAATGGAAAAATTACCTCTTCTTATGATGAAGGAGTTTGATGAAGTTTCCCATGTGTTTTTTAATGCTTTCTACATCCTTTTTCCTTTGAACTAAAGAGAGAATAGGAAATTGAACTTTTCATTGCTGAATTAAAAATCAACAGTGGAAAACTCAGTTTTCATTGTGATATCTGGAGTAAGCCAAGTTAAGGAATGTGCCTTGAGAAATACAGGCCACGATTTTCTTCTGGTCTGTGCTTTCTGCACTTGGTGTCATGAGAGGGACCTCACGGTGCCCTTTCCTGTTCTGTTCCTTTTTCTACAATCTCTCTCTTGCTTTGCCTTGAGGAAAGGGGAGGCCATTCCTCTCTGCTTATTTGGGCCATTAAACCAAGCAGCCTTCTCTGATCCAGAGATGAAGGCTGGATTATAAAAGGAAAAACTTGTAACTGCTATAAATGTAAAATAAAAATTATTCACTAAAAAAAAAATCATTCATTCAATTTGGCACTGGAAACTTGAACAAATACTTAAAAAGCATGTTTTACTTCTCAAACAAGTGCCTAATTTTCTATGAGTCCTGGAGAACCAAGTTTTATGATAATTAAAATTTAAATTAAATCTAAATTTCTTATGTGTATCTTCATGTTAAGGTGACTGGTTGAAGAAAGATCTCAATATGTGTTCTTATATACAGATGGATATTTGGACAAAATGAAATATGGTTCTATACGCTGTAAAACTTTGGAATACTCCAAATCCAGATAATAAAAAGCATATCTAGTACTTAATTGACTAATATTATTGTTGATAGATATGAAGCTTAGATATCAGCACATATATATATATATATCAACATTTCTTTTTTTGTGTTAATTTTCACATTTCTCTTTTTCAGATAATGCTTAAAGGATTCTGCAGCAATTCTTGGTATTGGACCTATTCAAAATCTCTCCGACCTTTACCCTTCTGGCCCACTGCCTTCCAGCTTTAACTGATTTGTGATCCTTTCAAACATTTTACATGCTTTGCAATGGTTACATGAACTTTCTGGAAGCGGTATTTTCACCATCTCATATTTCATTCACAATGGGACTTTAGGAAAAGAAGTTGGAATAAAAGCTTCCAAAACATCATTTTAAAAAATGAATCTTATTGTGAAGCTTCGGAGAAGTTTCCGAACATTGATTGTGCTCTTAGCTACCTTTTGCCTGGTGAGCATTGTCATTTCTGCCTATTTTCTCTACTCTGGCTACAAACAGGAAATGACACTTATTGAAACCACTGCAGAAGCAGAATGTGCTGACATTAAAATTCTACCTTATCGGTCAATGGAGCTAAAAACATTTAAACCTATTGATACATCTAAAACTGACCCTATGGTCCTCCTCTTTGTGGAGAGCCAATATTCTCAACTTGGTCAAGATATCATAGCTATCTTGGAGTCCAGCCAATTCCAGTACCACATGGTCATTGCCCCAGGCAAGGGGGATATACCTCCTCTTACAGATAAAGGCAAAGGGAAATATACTTTAGTTATTTATGAAAATATTCTAAAGTATGTCAGCATGGACTCATGGAACCGAGAGCTTTTAGAAAAATACTGTGTGGAATACAGTGTTAGTATAATTGGTTTTCATAAAGCCAATGAGAACACCTTACCAAGTACACAGTTAAAAGGATTTCCATTATATCTCTTCAATAACCTAGCTCTAAAGGACTGTTTCATCAACCCTCAGTCTCCTTTACTGCATATTACCAAAGCCCCCAAGGTTGAGAAAGGCCCTCTTCCTGGGGCAGACTGGACTATTTTCGAATATAACCATTCAACCTACCAACCTGTGCTTTTAACTGAACTACAGACAGAAAAATCCCCTTCATTCTTGTCCAGTAAAATACTTTACTCAACAGTAATTCAGGATCTGGGCCTTCACGATGGAATTCAGCGAGTTCTCTTTGGCAACAACTTAAACTTCTGGCTGCACAAGCTCATCTTCATAGATGCCATCTCCTTCTTGTCAAGGAAGAGACTGACATTGTCCTTGGACAGGTACATCCTCGTGGACATTGATGATATATTTGTGGGGAAGGAGGGAACAAGGATGAATGCCAAAGATGTAAAGGTAAGAACATTTGTGAATAACATCAGATTTATTGTTCCTTCACTTTGTGGTAGTGATAAAATATAATTTTAAATATTTGACATTCTTAAATCACTGAAATTTTACAATGTAATAGGTTTAAAATAAAATTTAAAAAAATTAAAACCATTTCACACAGGTAGACATAGATAATGACACACAGATACACACAAGAATCCAAGATTCAGAAGGTACTGAACTAACATATCCTCAAAAGTAATTACATTTATTCTCTTTGGCTCTTGTTATAGCTTTGCTCATCTTAGCTACATAGACTTGGAACAGCTTCTGTTATTTTAACCTTTGCTGCAGTTTATAGCCAGAGACTAATAATCACAGAGCTCTGTCTTTGAACTGATTACCCTGTTCAAGTTGGGTTTGCACGTGATGGTTGAAATAAAAAATTGGGAAGCAGCCCAAGATCTCTCTGGAACTTCAAACAGATAAAACATTTGTTTGTATGAGATGTTCATAGACTAGTGAATATAAATACTAACAAATACAATTTTATAGGAACTTGACCTAGAAGACTCTCATTGTTATCTCTATTCATTTATTATATCAGAACAACCCAACAGTGTTACTGCCTGCCCTTCTAGCTGCATAACACCAATTGACTGCATTATAGATTCATCTTGTGATTGCTTTTATGAAAAGAAAAAACTAAATATGAAGCTATGTAGGATGAGGTTTCTGAATAGTCCCTGCTACTTGGGAGACTACAGCAACAGGAGTCTTGAACTTCAAATTTGAGACCAACTTGGGACAACATAGAAACTCCCTTAAACACACACACACACACATACACACACACACACACACACACATACACACATAAAAAGACAACATACATTTACTAAATCAGAAAGATAATTCAGAGAATAATTTTCATTTTAAACCTCAGTTCCACATTCTCATATGATCTTCCTATATATATTGTGCTCTATATAACCAAAATCACTCTGTGTGTAAAGAATTTTAGTGAACATAAACAAAAATAATAGGACACAAATTGGGATTATGAAAGAATCAAGATTTTTATGATCTGTTTATCTTTGTTTTATTTTTTGGTATTAAAGTGTTTATCTTCCAAAAGTGAAACCTGGATGTTCCTTCACCATAATAGCTTTTTTTGTCCCCACCTTAAAACTTTATGGCCACTGTAAGACAACATGATCAAAACCTGTAAAATAAGTTCTTTTTAAAAAAAAATCTTTATAGTGCATGTGGACCAGCAAATTTGTTTCTAATGAGCCAACAAAGGAAAGAACTGTTTCATTATGACCCAAGTGTTACATTTCAGGACTCCTACAAAGGGAGTGAGTGACACAGTTAAATTTTTTTGTATTTAGCATTCCTTAAAATTAATATAAATACTAGTTTTACTTTAATTATAAATTCATTAATTTGAAAAGAAGTCATATGCTTCAAAAAGTTTCCAGAGTGCTTGGTTCCCAGCCAAAAGTCCTAAAAGGATAGGATTTTCATATTTTAATCCCAGGAACTATGTGAATCAAAAGATTCTCTATAATTCTAAATGCAATTGACCAGTTCAAATTTAACATCAGCACTTTTTCTTGGTAGCAAAACAAATAGCTGTTCTTCAATACTGATAAAATATTCAGAGATCATCGACAGCTTCTAATCTTGCATAACCCTGAACAAGATAATAGAATAAATTTTTTAATGAGGGCTTCAGCAATATCACATGTGTAGAGATAATTGAATATATACATAAATAGACATGTAGACATATAGACATACAGATATAGATATAGATATAGATATAGATATAGATATAGATTTAGATATAGATTTAGATATGGATATGTATTACTGTGTTCATATACTTGAACACATGCATACAGGATATATGCCAGTGGTGGTGAACTTATGACAAGTGTGTCGCAGTGGGATGTTTGTATCATTAAAAGCTCTAAAATGTTTGTCATCAATGTTATGTATTATATTAATAATATAAAATATTTATTAATGTACATACACATAGATTAACTCCACTTTGAAGAAAGTACTCTTCATTGTCTTTTTGGTTGTTTCTAGATCTCCCATAGAACTAATTTCTTTTTTGTTGTTGTTTTTATTTTTAAATTGACAAATAAAAATTGCATAAACTTGTCATGAAAAACATATTTTGAAACATGTATACATTGTAGAATGGCTAAATTTAATTAAAATATGCATTACCTCAAATTTATCTTTTTTGACTTTTTTGGTGAGAGCACTTCAAATTCACTCTATTAGCAATGTTCAAGAATGCTATGCATTTCTATGAACTATAGTCACCATGTAAAACAACGGATATCTTGAACTCATTCCTCCTATCTAAATGAGGTTTTATATCTTTTGATGGACATTTCCCCACTTCTAGACTCTCTGTCCCTAGTTTCAACTATTCTATTCTCTGCTCTTATGAATTAAAAATTTTGGGATGCTTCACAAAGATGAGATAGAATATTTGTCTTTCTGTACCTGGCTTATTGCACTTAAAATAATGTATGCTAGGTTTTACTCATGTTGTGCAGAATGACAAAATTTTCATCTTTTAAAAGGATAAATGAAATGTGTGTGTGCGTGTGTGTGTGTGTGGTGTGTCTTTTCTCCATTCTCTCATCCATTGATGCACACTTATTTTGATGCAATATCTTGGCTATTGTGAATATTACTGAAACAAACAAGAGCACAAATAAGTGCATTCAACATATTGATTTCATTTCATATATAAATTCATATATATTAATATATATATTTAAAAAGAAATTTGTGGAGCATCCAGTAATTCTTTTTTTAAGAACTTTCATATTATTTTCATAATGACTGTCTAATTTACATTCCTACCAACAATGTGCAAGGATTCCATTACTTCTACATCTTGGTCAATACCTGTTACTTTCATTTCTTTAAAATATTAGTCATTTTAACAAGGGTGAAGTGATAGCTATCTCCTTAAAGTTTTGATATACATTTTTCTAACAATTAGCATATCCCTTGACAAGTTATTTTAGGTGTTATTTTTACGTTTTTATCTTTTAACATTCATACTAAAGATATAAGCAATTTGCATTCAACACAGAGTATTAGACGCCAATGAATTTGCCTATGTACTCACTTTCACCAACGAGTTTTACACTTCCATGTATTTTCCTGCTTATAATCAGCCATCTTTTCTCTTAACTAGAAGAACTCTCTTTAGCTTCTTTTAATATAATTCTTTTAATATGTATTATAATTCTATATTTATAACTATAAATATAATTCTTTTCATATACATCTGAAAAAACTTTAAAAATGTAGGTCTCATGGTGATGAAATCTCCAGGCTTTTATGTACCTGAGAAATTCACTATCTTTCCTGAATTTTTGGAGACCAGCTTGCAGAGTATAGCATTTTTGGTTGGCAACATTTATTTGTTTCCTTCAGCACTTAGACATTCTTTTACTCTGTCCTGGCCTGAAAGTTGTTGTTGGAAAGTCTACTGATAGCCTTATTATAACATATGTATGTGTAATATGTTCTTTGGGTGATTTCAGGAGTATCTTTTCTTTTTCAAATATTTGACTTTTTATTCTAATATACCTCAATATTGGCTTATTTGGATTGAATCCTGTTGGATACCATCAATCTTACTTTATCAGGATATTTATGTATTTTCTGGATTTGAAAAATTTTTTTCTATTGTTGCTTTAAATCATTTCATTTTCTGGCTCTTTTTCTCTTTTCTTAGAATCTTATACAGACAGTCCTTGACATATGATAGTTTGACTTATGAGATGTTCATTTTAAGGTTGTCCAACAGCACACCTATACAATCATTGTTTTAACTTTCAGTACAGTGTTCAATAAATTACATTAGAGTTCAACACTTTATTATAAAAGAGGCTTTGTATCAAGTGACTTTAACTATGAGCTGAATATTCCAAGCATGTTTAAGTTAGGCTGGCTTAGCTATGATGCTTGGTAGGTTAGATATATTAAATGCATTTTGTTCTATAGTATTTCCACCTTGCAATGGGTTATTGGGACATAACTCCATTGTAATTGAGGAGCATTTGTAACTCAAATATTTCTCTCAGAACTATTGACTAATTTGATTGGAACTGAAATCTATTTACCTCTTGGATTATTTATAAGAATAGAAAATATTGTTTTGCAAGAATAAAAATTCTAGCCATCATCTCTTGCATTGAAGTTTTTGTTCTATTTTTTAGATCAGTATTACTTTATTAGGAAGCATTTTAATTTGTAGAAAAGTTCTGGAGAGTCTCATATTCTTTTTTCTTGCATTCAAGTTCTTGTAGTACAAAATTAAGTCAAACACAAGTAGAAAGGGTTAAACTCGTTCTCTTCCAAACTCTACCCTACTCCTCAAGAGTAAGAGTGTTACATAGCTATTGATATTTTTCTGTTATTCTGAAATACAGGGTAGAGAAATTCCTTTTCTTAATAGGACAAACTGAGTAAAACAGGAGTGTTATGTATGACAATTTTTGGTTATAATGTGATTGAACTCTCCCTGCAAAACTCTCACAATTAGACTGAAATAACTGGGAGTGAGTATTAAACAATAAATACAGACACAGCCTAATCTAAACACCATTTCAAGCTATCAAAACAATACACATACACATTATCATATTTTCACTTGAACTAAATTTTCTACTTTGAGATTGGAATGCTAGATCATATTATTCAAGAATACACATTTTAAAGTCACACAATTTTCATACTGTGAACAGAACTTAAATTTATAATTGAACTTGAAAGCCCATTCTTCCTACGATATGGTTCTGCCTGACCTAAGCTAGCCACTATCTTTCTACTTTCTCCATAGATTCTCATTACAAAAGTGCTACCAGTTCAGCAATAATGCACTTTTAGAAATGCTAATATAAGAAGGGATTATCTTGATTATTAAAACTCTGTTGTAAAAAGTCCTATTTCACATTATCTATTACACATTTTGA